TGTTAATCGGAAGCGCACGCTTTTCTGACCGGGAGATATCTTGGTTCAGAATCGTTTTAACGTTCGTCACCCGATGATGAGCCATTCAAACTCACTGTCGCGTGTGTGCCTCCGTTTGCCTTAGCTACTTGCTGGCTACTGAGGCCCAATTAGAAATGATGCATCGACTATTGCCCTCGGTGCGCATGATCGCCACCCTTCGTAACCCAACGTAAGCAGTTCCGTCCGTTGTGACACACGAATTTCTTTCCAGCATTGTAGGCTCGCCGGCATCGAGTCAACTATGTCCCACCAGCTTGTCTTAACCTGGGTTGGGCAGGGATCGCGCCTTCTCACAGTATCAGCAAGAATGTCGCCAAGGCTTTGTTTTGATTGGAAAAAGCCCGGCCGTCAAAGGGAGGGTTGTGTTTGCCCGCAGGCCCGATTGGGCTTTGCACACTGCCCAACGCCTGGGCCTGGCCAACGTCAGCAAGGAGGACTTTGAAACTGCTACATTCCCGTGTTCCAACGACCATTTTCTTGCCATGCTCATGGGCAACGGGACCGGGCCTGACATTGACCTCAGCCGCAGCTTGGCCTTTCGCATCATCTCCACTGGCTATTATCGCGAACAACTGGACCGAGTGCTCGCATTGTATCCACGCAAACAGCTGCATGTTCTTCTCCACGAGGCGTTTATGCACAACCCCATCGCGGAGATGGAAAAGATTGAAGACTTTCTCGGTGTGCCCCGCATGCCTTATGCCAACATGACCAGGATCACAGATTCGGGCTTTATCGCGCTGAAAAACGTGCGCAGCAAAGCGGACAAGCTTCGCTACGAGAAGCTCAGCCCAAGCACCCGCGAAAAGCTCGACCGCCTCTACCGCCCCCACAACCAAGGCCTGCTGGACTTTTTTGACAAGGAACAGCTCCGAAAAGCCTGGCACATCTCCCTCTGATATCAAGTGGCCTGGTCTGATCATATGAATTGTACCTATGAAATAAGGCGGCGGATCGAGCGACGCATCGCAACCTGCATGCCTCTGAGGGGTAGGTCATCAGAATCGTATTCGCTGAACTATCAGATGTTTTCCCATGCTTCTGTGCGCAAAAGCTCTCTTTCTACACTACTCATAGTCGTTGTAGGTAGTAAGTAGTACGTGTCGGTAGTAGTACTCGAGAGTAGTAGGTAGTAGATTGTAGGTCGTAGATAGTATAGGTGGTCCGTGGTACGTGGTCCGTGGTACGTGGTCCGTGGTACGTGGCGTGTGTGTGTGCGGAAGAGAACCTCACAAGACCAGAATGTCAGCAAATCATCAAGCTTTGCATGCATCCAATCATTTTGAGAAGCGAAGGCGGCTTGAAACGTTATTTTTTTTATTTTTTCCTTTTCAAAGGGCGTGTGGATGTCGCGCGACTCTTTGAGAGAGCGAGAAAATGCGGTGTCTGGCTGTCGCCCTGGGCCTGGGCCTGAGCTTGGGCATGGTCGATTGGGTGGCTGGTGGTGCCGTGCTGGATTTCGAGTTTGAAGCGCCGGAATGGTTCGAGGGCGAGGTCTGGGAGAGTCAAGATCCGGCTGATATCCGCGACGTGTTGCTGCTCAACAACGTTTCGACCATTGGCATGAAGCAACGGCCTTTGCTGCGTTCAAGCCAGAACATCAGCCCAGATCAACTTGATGCGGGGGTGTGCATGAGCGACGACAGCTCCTCCTCTTTCAAAGCGGCCTGTTTGCCGTCCTTCCTCATCATTGGGGCCATGAAAGCGGGTCAGTCTTGATTTTGATTTTTCAACCGCCGTGTCTGTGCGAGTGTTCTTTTTGCTCGTTGCCAGCCTTTGGAAGGCTACGTCAGGTCCAACCATGGGGTTATTGCTGCATTTTTTGTTCGTCGAATCATCTCAGACTGGGCTCCTTGGTTGATTCAGGCACGGGCGAGCTAGCCTCCTGGTTGGAGCAAAGCCCGCTACTGAGGCGATACACCAACTTTGCCAAGCCCACTTGGCACGGCGAGGCGCACTATTTTGATCACATTCGTACGTCACTTTTGAGCCCATGTACCGGCTTGCACTTGCTCTCGCTGGTGCCTAGAATCTGGCACCATTCCCCTCCTGTTCAATCGTACTTTGCAACATTGCTGTGCTCCGCACACATAGAGCCGACCGAGACTCTGGAGGACACCTGGCGCTCATATTTGTGGACAGGCCCGAAATACAAAGACAAAGATCAGCTACGCACCACCCACTCGTTTGACAAGACACCAAAGTATGTGCTGCGTCAATTGGGGCATGTTACCCGGAAGTGATTGCAGGCGCACGTCTTCCTGACCGGGAGATTGAATGGCTCAAAATGGGTTTCGAGGAGGGAGCGGGCAGAGAGCAGGGTTAGAGGTATGGGCCTCGTCAGCTGATGATGAGAAATTCAAACTCACTGCCGCGTGTGTGCCTCCGTTTGCCTTAGCTACTTGCTGGCTACTGAGGCCCAATTAGAAATGATGCATCGACTATTGCCCTCGGTGCGCATGATCGCTACCCTTCGTAACCCAACGTAAGCAACTCTGGAAATTTATTTCCAGCATTGTAGGCTCGCCGGCATCGCGTCAGCTATGTCCAACCAGCTTCTCTTAACCTGGGTTGGGCAGGGATCGCGCCTTCTCACAGTATCAGCAAGAATGTCGACAAGGCTTTGTTTTGATTGGAAAAAGCCCGGCCGTCAAAGGGAGGGTCACCTATGCCCGCAGGCCCGATTGGGCTTTGCGCACTGCCCAACGCTTGGGCCTGGACAACGTCAGCAAGAAGGACTTTGAAACTGCTAAATTTCCCTGTTCCAACGACCATTTTCTTGCCATGCTCACGGGCAACGGGACCGGGCCTGACATTGACCTCAGCCGCAGCTTGGCCTTTCGCATCATCTCCAACGGCTATTATCGCGAACAACTGGACCGAGTGCTCGCATTGTATCCACGCAACCAGCTGCATGTTCTTCTCCACGAGGCGTTTATGCACAACCCCATCGCGGAGATGGAAAAGATTGAAGACTTTCTCGGCGTGCCCCGCATGCCTTATGCCAACATGACCAGGATCACAGATTCGGGCTTTATCGCGCTGAAAAACGTGCGCAGCAAAGCGGACAAGCTTCGCTACGAGAAGCTCAGCCCAAGCACCCGCGAAAAGCTCGACCGCCTCTACCGCCCCCACAACCAAGGCCTGCTGGACTTTTTTGACAAGGAACAGCTCCGAAAAACCTGGCACATCTCCCTCTGAGGGGCTCAGCGGGTTTGATTGTAAGATGAAACATACCCCCTCAAAATATAGTTTTATGCCCTATCTGACATGGGGCAAGGGGGCGGATCGAGCGACGCATCGCAACCTGCATGCCTCTGATGTGTAGCCAAGGGGGTTTTGTTCTCTGAACTGTTTGTAAATTTAGCTTATTTCCCGGGTGCATTTCAACCCAAACGCTTTCGTTCTCTCAACCTTACCCTCCCATCACCCTCTCTCTCTGACTCCCCTGTGCCAGATTGGCTCTCTCTCTCTCTCTCACATTTTCACTCGTGCTCTTCCCTCTCTCTCTCTGTGGGGGGGTCGGACTGTCCTCCTGGGTTCTGGTTCGGTCGAGAGGAACAGGCGGTGGGTGGGGGGATGCTTGCTCGTCGCTGTCATTTGGCATGGAGTACCGGGTGATCATGTGATATGTGGGGTGGGCAGGGGGACCAGGAAGTCGTTCAAAGTGTTGGGATTGCCACACGCACGTGTGGGCTGATGGCAAAATATGCTTGTGTCGTTGCCGCGTCCGCCCTACACCCTGTGCAGCGAGTTGGCCTTGACCGCAGCCTTTGCTGCTGTTGAGTAAGCGGGTACTTGTCTCTGAATGACTATGATCTCAGAGTGACGACTCTCTACCACTCTCGGAAGCTGACGATAGGTAGGCATGCCCCGGCTTCTGAACGTGGCCCAACCCCACCCTGGTTCACGCGCCTACCTCCGGTCGTTCTGCTCTCTCTTTCTTCTTCTTGTCTTCTTCCTCTGGCCTGGGCAGGCGAGTGGCGCAAGGTGGTGCAGAAAGCCGTACCAACATGGCTCGCTGGCTCTTTGTCTTGGCCACAATTCTGTTTGTGCTTGGAGAGCAGACGAGTGCCGTCACCAGTCCAAGTGCGTTGGTCAAGCCCCACCCTACCCCTCACCGCTGATCATTTGCCTGGGGCTGCTCGCGTATCACAACGTGCTCCTCATTTAAATTGCCTCTCCTTGGGCTCGGCTGGCTAGACGTGCTGGTCGATGATGTTCAAGTCAATGCTGGCACAGATTTGGACGCGCTCATCACAGCTCTGAACGGCTACACCGTGATCCATGGCTCGGTCCATATCAACCTAACGGGTGCCAACCCCGGCCTAAGCTGGGCCACAAAGCTCGAGCAAGCCCTCGGCGCCATCACAGATATCCGTGGTCACTTGCTCGTGGTTAACAGCGACTCCATCTTGTCTGACCTCTCCTTTTTCCAGAATCTCAGAGTCATTCGTGCCGAAGACTATTACTACTTTCGTGATGATACCACGCCAGATAACACAGAAACGGCCATGGCACTCGTCCTCATGAACTACCAAACCATGACCAGCATCCACCTACCCAAACTTCACCATGTAAGTCCAAAAAAAAAAAAAAAAAAAAAAAAAAACTTTGCCCT